CATTTAGTTTTCTTCTTGTAATTGACTCTTTTTTCTTTGTTTTTATCAAAACCAGCTCCATTTGCAGTTTTAGAAACTCGTATATGGTAGATCTACAAGCTCACAAAATCGCATTTACTCAAAAGTAACCTCATTTGGGCTTAAAATGGGTGAAGGTTAGGGAGTAAAAAAAGGGTCCACTCCCCAATTTTGGTTCATTTAAACCAGGTCTCCATCTTTTGTGTGAAAACACCCAGATGTCCCAGCTTTCCACCAGCACCAAAATGCACCTTATAAGAGTCTGATGATAAAAAGATTCTCAAAAACTGGTCTGTGCATATTTCAGCAGCCTTTTGAAGTGGAAGCCATCACATCTGGAAAGTTGGAGGTAAATATCTGTGTGAAATCTTAATGTTTCTGTGTGTGTTTCTGCTTATTTTCTGTGTTTTATCGGCTCAAACGCATGAGTGGATCTTATGACCGACAAAAGAGACAAATGGAGCAGTGTTGTATCAACTTGTGTCAAAGCTGTGAAAATGTGTGTTAGCTTAGCTTCAAACCTGCTGTGGGTTTTGGGCACAACAGCGTGAATCACCGGAGAGGCGAGCTGAAAACGTGTGTGCAGCTTTCAATGTCACTCCTCAGCTTTTCTGCTTTTCAGCGTGGCCTCGCATGGCAATCCATTTCACCTCTGAGATGGGGGTCATTACACAGTTTTCCATCATCAAACCCTTCATTTGCTGCACTGAAGAGCACTGAATTAAGACCGAGTTCACGGTGAGATCACAGCCAATGCGGCGTTAAGCCGTCTTGAGCAATTCGCGGCATGTTTATGAAAAGGTGGTTGAGATTTGTTTGTTTGCTCTGAGTGACATAAAAAGCCGAACCGTGACCCGGCGGTTAAAGTGGCGGCTTTAATAGCTGCCCTCCACTTCCAAACAGATATAAACTGCCTCTGACATTTTGGTCGGATGTGAGCCGTGTGGAGTTTCCTCCGACTGACTAACGGCTCAGGTACGCCGACCAGGGAGCAGCTTACAGGACACACGATGGACTCAAGTGGGGAGGAAAGGAGAACAAAATGGTCAAAATAGACATTTTGAAGCCACAAATGTGCCAATTAGTTAGTTTAGTTTATGCCTTTCTACATTTAGTTTTGTTTTTAAGTGCAATTAGCAGGACTTTAATGATCTATTACATACAAGTCCAGTTTTTCTTGAAAATGTGTTGAACTTTTCAAACTTTTCTTCATAAAATTCCAAATTGTTCCACATTTAACTGCTTTAAATAGCTTTTTTATTTCTTACATATTCAACACTTTTAAAGTACATTTCAAGTTCTTGGAGTATTGGCAAATTACTCTTTAATTGATCTTGTTTTTTACTTTGGATGAAAGCAAAACTACTAATGACTTATGAGGGAGTGCACATGATCTCCTGTGAAGGTCTTTGCTTCACTTTTTTGTCTTTTTAAAGCTTTCCATGTGCTGTAGTTTTGTTTATCTGATGTAGTTCTGACTCGATAAATGGCAGCCTTCACAGAGATTGACGTTTGTTGCCACTCTACTCACAGTTAAGGTGTTTTCATACATGACAGGTAGAAAAGCGATCTAACATTTCTTGGTAGTGCTGATACTAAACTGTGGCCCTGTCTCGGTTCCATGGAGGGAACGTGCTGATTGGCTGAGTGCTCACCACCCACTCGTGGGAACATGGTGTCAAAGTGTGTCCATCTCTGTTGGGTAATTCATTGACTGTTATCAGACTCTCTCAGCACCGGCTGAAAAACCCGACTTTAAAGCTGCTAATGTCGGTTAATCACTGGAGCATTCGTTTCCGTACGTCCTAAATTACAATCTGCTTCATTTGGCGTCGCCTCGTCCCACCCAGCGCCATTACAGCCCACAAATGAGGAAAGATAATGTGTTTTGTTCAGCGGCAGATGAGAAGCGTCCTGGAGTTTAGACTAAAAAGCCGCCTATAGAGGCAACAATATATGTGTGTGTGTTATCAATACATGAATCTGACCCGGTTATTTATGTCAGATGTCTGACAATAGCTGGACTTAGAATCAGGCTTTGAGAAGAAAAGAGAAAGAAATTGCATTATCAATCTAAAGTTGGCCGTTTGACAAAATAAAAAAGGAATATTTTCACTCATTTTAATATATTTCAACATTTCTATTTGTGTTAAAAAGCCTGAAATGAAAATACGGATGTATATTACCTCTCTGAAACGTGGTAATTGCTGTATGTTCCACCTTTAACTGATTTGAGGTTATTGAAATGGGGACTTCATGCTGTTTGTCATCAAAATTAATTCATTTTGTGACAATTATCTAAATGCAGCCAGCTTAAATCATTTCTAATTTGCTGGAGTTTGAGCCAGAAACTCCAACTTTTGGCTGATAATTGAAAACAGCAGCTGCTACACAACACATTCAATTTCCTGTTTTCGTTTTTGACGCCTTTCTATGGACGGGCATTGTGAGCGAACTGGCACGATCCACCAGATCATTTTTGTTTAATTATTTATGTAAATTACCCCTTTTCTATGTAAATAAACATGAAATGAAATGTAACGCTTACAACTGCCAAAACAGTGATTCAGCTCAAGCTTATGAGCTCACGGTAGCATAACACTTGGAAATGTGGTGCCTTTAGGCTCAGTGGAGGTAAAGTAAAGAGGGCCTACAGCCTTTTTTATGCCACAAAAGCTACAGAGACCTTTACATAAGAAAGATTTCTCTGAGATCTTCCAAAATCTAAGTTTTTTACATGAATAAGTCATGTTGCTTGTTTAGCTTTTCACAAGTGGTACCAACTTTTTTTTTTCTCCGGGTTACTTTAAACTAAAACAAGTGCAAATTTTAGTTTTGAACCCTTTCCTGAACCTTCTCCAGAAGCTCCTTTCTGTGAGGAATCTCCAGGAAAAGCTCTCCAGCTCTTGAAGGACATCCCAAAGCTCTTCTCTGGAAGCTGCTGCTGCCTCTGGATACTCCTCTGATCACGATCCATCAATAGTGGATATGTTTCTTAGAAGAAAACCTTGTTTTACGGCTGCCTGAACACCTCATGTATGCAAACAACACTGCTTCATCCTTTGAGTGTAGTGGCCCAAAAACAATTTTGATTGAAACTCAAAGGCAGAAAATGTCCAAAGAAACAAAGACTTTTGCAATTCTGCCAGAAAGGGCTGCCTAATGCATCACAAAGACCACCTTCAAATGTTCCCACTGTTCCCTCTCACTATAGCACTCGGTGTTTTACTATTTTTTGTCAGTAGTGTCAGTGGATTGATGCCTTTTGTTCACAGCTATGCAATAATAAGCAGGTTCCTGCAGGAAAAGGGACATCATGGTAAAATAAGCCCCTTCACAGTCGTCAAGAGCTTCCGATTTACTGCTGAATCACCCCACAGGGCCTTCAGCTGGAGTAATGACCAGGATGCCATTCATTATCCTTTTACTGTGGAAATCACAGCGCTACGGCAGAGTGGACGCAGTCGAACAATCCAATACAAGAGCTCTGAAACAGGTTTTAGAGTCTGGAGGCGGAGGCTGTCTCTGATGTGTGCTCCACGCCGACTCGTCCTCGTTGGGTAAGTTCATTTTATGGATCATTAAAAGCATCGTTAATATGGTGATATGACTTTTTGGAGAGGCTACACCTCCTCCTGCTCGGTGTGACAATAGGAAGTGATGTGCAGTCTAATTAAAATCAGTGTAAGTTCAATCAGAGGATTCAGACTACTTCGAATTCGATGATGTCACTGGTTCTGACCAATCAGGAAGGAGACAGAAGTGGTCAGACCTCCTTCAGGGGTGGTCATATTTTTTTAATTTAAGAAAAAACATTTAGTGAATAAATCTGACATTTTCTGAGTGTTTATTCTTAGACCATCGATGCGCATTTTATTAAGTTTACAAAAAAGTGTGTTCTAATAACACTCACAGGATGAAACTTTAAAATGCATCTCAGTGAGCCCATTATCTGAATGTGAACATATGGGAATATTTCTCTACTTTACTTTACCTCTGGGAGGACATATCTAATCTTAGATAATGCAGGTTATCAGCCAGTTATGTACCAACAACAACAAAATAAGAAAAAAAAGCTAAATTGCTTCAATGTCTGGCAATCTTTTATGCTCCCTGCTCCACATCTGGTGATCTGCTTTGCTCAGAGATAAAAAGCTTTTATTATCACCTAATGTCTGGCAGACAACGCCGGGAGGGAGAATTTTCATGGGGAAAAAAATTAATATATTATTTGACAGTTTTGACAGGAACGCTTTGCATAATAAATAATGAAAGACTGCATCCATTTAGCCTCCCCTGACTTCAGTTCACGCCCAAACATGCTGCTCATCAGCCTTTAATTGTCAGCTGTATAGTTTATGGTCAGGCTCTCTGACATAAAAATGCTAAAAGCCACATTTTGGTCTTTTTTCAAATCCATCTTTACGTCCTCAGGCAAATAAGATCCACTTAATAAATGAGCAAGAGTTAAAGAAATGTAACAAGACGGGAGCTTTTAACCCTATAATGCCAAATGTGTCATATTTGATTCATACAGTTTCTGAAGTCTTTTGGATCTGAGACTTTTTGCATCATTTAGTGGTAAAAGCTTTGCTCAAACCCCTGTTGTACACATTCAGATATACCTGATAACAGCCAGTAGAAGACTACACCAACATATATTTTTGACTTATTGCACGCTAATTTGATCAAAATAATATGTTTTTTTTTCTTCATATGTTGTTGAGGGGCCAAAGAAAGACTTCAGACTAAAAAAATCTAATATTCTTCCTGTTTTTCTTGGATCAGGCTTTAAAGTGTTAAAGCAGAGTTTCTATGGCACTTTGTGTTTATTTTTTAAGATTAAGCCTGAAAAGTGTCCACACCTGCCTTTTCTGGCCCCAACAGCTCAGGTGACCTCCAAACCCAGCGTGTGAGACGGCTGTGTGGGATAATGCCCAGATGTGTGCTTGTGAGGGTAAATGAGATCACGGGTAACTCACCATGTCGATGGATGACACGGGCCCGATGCTGTTGACATAAATGCCCACATCGATGACGGTCGGTTTCTCTGAAAGAGCCGGAGAACAGAGAGGTGAGCTCACCTGGGACTGACCCATCCGTCTGAGTTTGCATCCTGCACCCGCAAAAATCAAATGAATAACCAGGTTAAAGCCGGCGCTTTTCATCATCCAAAGTGTCACCTCCGCAAATAAAACTGATTTGTTTCCTTCAGGAGGGAGGCAGAGCCATCAATCCGCCCGGAGAAGAGAGATTTACACCTCAGAAAGCGGAGAAGCTGGAGGGGGACGGCTGGAGCCGCTCCAGAGTTGCCATGGCAGGTAATAGCATTTCAGGCAGGACGTGGGATCCTGGCTAAATTTGCTTGGCAACAACACTCGAGTGGCTTCTGCAAAGTACAAACTTTACAGAGCAAGAGCCAGGATTTTCTAATTATTCTCTGTTTTTTTTTCTTCTTCTAGCTGATTCCCTTGAGCGAACAGGCCCGCTGTGCTGGAGTAGAAATCCACTGACTCTCCTCCCTCCTGTCGGACCAGGTGAGCTGTGCTGGTCGTCACATTTCCGTTCAGCTGGGAATCTGTTCTCACATTGTCTGGAGCCACAAACACACTCGCCCGTTAGAGCCACAGTAACACATCGATGACTCGAACAGGCAGACAAACCTGCAGGATTGGGCCTTGGAAATGAGAATCTCTGGGTTTGAAGATGAAGATGACAAACACACACACACACACACACACACACACAGACACACATACAAACACACACACACACACACACACACACACACTCACTAAGGTTGTCAAAAGTATCCATACTCAAAAAAGTATTCATACTAAAACGTTGTACGATACTCATTTTCAAAAGTCAATCAATCAATCAATCAATCAATCAATCAATCAATCGATGTTTATTTACATAGCACTTTACAACAACCAGAGCTGACCAAAGTGCTTTACAGTAATAAAAACAGATCAAACTATAAAAATATACAAAATATACAAAGACAAATACATTGGTGACAGTACAAAAGTATCGATACAAAAGACACTAACCTGTCAAACTTCATACATTTTCTTAAATTTTGGGGTCTTTGTTTGTATCCTTGTTGTATCGAAAATGGTATAGAGTATCGAATACTTTCCTGAGTATCAGTTTCGAGTTGAAAATTTTAGTATCGTGACAACCGTAACACACACACACGCGATCCATTCTGGTTATTCTAATGAGGCCCCGGTGTGAACACAGATCTGTTCTCTCTCTGAGATCTGTTAGCTAACTCAAGCTTCTCTAAATTTGCAGGTGGATTTCTCCTGGATGTGTTTCTGACCAATCAGCAGCCAGCAGGAGCGTTTCAAACTCTGGTTTCCTTCCACAGTTCATGAGGTGCGTTTATTTTTACACTCTTGTTTATATCGTCACAACTATGCCGATGAAACTGGCAAATTATTGGTTTGACTGTTTTGTTAAATTTAGTTGTGTTAAGATGGGTGTTGTTGGTCTACACTACAGTAACATAAAAACTGATGACCCTCATAGTTGATCAGGATTTTTAAAGAGTAAAAAATCAGATGTACAGTCCTCCAATACAACACAAAGATTTGTTTTCATTTTCTGGGAAGCTCACAGTTCCCAACAGCACTGATTCATATTGATTTACAACATATGGACCTAGGGTTGTGCTACATTTCTTTGAGTGTTTTTCTACATATATGTAAAAATCCAATGACTTTTTGTGCTGTCAAACAAGCCGTAAAGAACAGACTTTCCATTACTATTGTAGACAAAAATCTAAGCAAAGTCCATTTGATTTAAGAACTGTAATGGCTCCACAAAGCATCCGCCATTAAAAAGAAAAAAAAATCTGCCCTCTGAAAAAGGCTTGAAAACGTTTCATGAGCCACTTTTCTCAGCCTAAACACAGCTTTTCACCCCTGATGGCGTATCGACAGCAGACCCAGACGTTTGCTTTTCTTTTCTCTTGTGCTGTCAAGAGCAGACAACCGTCCTCTTTCAGCTCCCACCGAGGTGTAAACCAGCCGTTTGGTCGCGTAGCACGAGGTTAACCAGAGAGCGAGAGTGAGAGCTCTTAATGGCGGCTGGTTTGTCTTCAGATTCAAAAACACAAGCAGCAATAAAAACATGGATGCAAATCTGAAGTAGCCTTAAAAAGTTTGCTCCTATTTAAAAGACCTTGATCCCTGTGAGTGGGTTGGAACACTGTCTTATTACATTTAACTTACTACATTTATTACATTAAAATGACATTTTAATGTAACTTATTAGATAAAAAATGTGTCTGAAACTGATTCACTTTTCTGGGGTTTGCCAAACGATGTTTTCTTCCAGGACTCTGCTTCTCTCAGGTGCTCTTTTTTTTGTTATATCTTCAGTCAGTTTAATTTACATTTCCTCCATGAGGTAGCTAAATATCTCACTTTAAATATTAAATTAGTTTTTGATGCTCAATAGTGGTTTGTGTGGTTCTGGCATCATGGGCTATACGAGGCGGCGAAATAGAAGAAGAGTTCTATCCACATTCATTAATTACTGATTTAATGAGCTCACTAAGTGGCCAAAATCAAAAATGGTGTCAACAGGGGTGGGAAGGTTGTGTTTAGATGCGAAATGCTTTCAGCTGTTACTTAGAAATTCACCTTCCTTACTCCGAACTCAATGCTTTTGATATTTAGCCTGACATTTTGCTTTGAGAACAAAGGTGAGAGAAACCGGCTGAATTAATAAGCACAGACGCTAAACCCAAAGCAGATTGAGCAGGACTTGGTGAGCACGGGGCTTTCAGGATTATGGAAATTTAGCTGAGGAGAATAACAAAGTCCAGGTCGGCTGGTGAACCGGAGAGATATTAACCAGAATTAACACACAAAAAACATTTCCTCACTGAAGCTTCTGAATAGCTTCATCCAGAGGTCAAAGCTTGATCTCAGGCACAGATGGTTTTGTACAGTCACCATCTGTAAAAGTGCCTTTGAAAAGTGGTTTCTGCTGCTATCTTCAATCAAATCAACAGTCATGAGACAGCTGGTAAAAAAAAAAACTCCTAGCCAAGCCATTTGGGAGAAGAGGGGACTTACTTTTTCACTTTATTGGCTTTCTGAGTCTCTCTTTGCCCTTAATCTCATAAAGAAGTCCTTTTATGTCGTTGTATAACATCAATACTCAGCCAAACCCTCCTGTAGCTCATGTTCTGCTCAGCTGCCCAACAAACGCTGCACACACTCTCCTGAGACACTTTTTACTTAAATTTACTTCGAAAGGAGTTGTTATATGTTATCACTTAAGCAAGGAATCCCTTGAAATGTATTTTAATCAACTTAGTTTGTAGCTCCTGGGCGTTCGTAAAATGACACCTTTTCACATAACTTACTCTTTTAATTCTCCCATTTTTTTTGTTTTACTGTATTTTAGTTTATGAGTTTCATTTTAGTATATTCCTACATTAGTAGTGTTACTTTTACCAACCTTGGGGTAGGATTGAGTATGTAAAATAATAATGAGGACATTTCAGGAGACACATAACTCTGAAAAATGGGACTTTTTGGGGAGAATCCGTTTAATACAGTATGTCAAAATGTAGATACAGAAGTGGAGATACAGAAATGAGAAGGCCATTGTGTGGATGATAGGTACATCTTATCTACTATCTCATCTTATCTACTGGAGCAATCATGCTGATATTTAGCCTTGTGTAGCCTTGTGGTCACGACTTTTGGGGGATTCAAACACCCAACAGGAAGCTGATGCCTTTCGTAGAAGCTGGTGTTACAAACACTTGTGAAACAGAAAGTATGTTTGCTGATTTCCCCTTGATTTCCGTTGTGGAAAACAACTGGCCGCTGGTTTCCAACTAACCTTGTTTTGAGACCTATCTGGCACGATTACTGGGCACCAAGCCCAAGTTCAGACCCAGAATCAACCCTCTATTGTCCACTTGGACAAAGCTGGCAGGGAGGGCATGCAGGACAATATGTAATTACCATGTAGAAATCATGAGGAAATGCACGGCTAGCCTTCGCGGTACCTTTTGGGTAATGGAGGCACGTTTAAGCCGGGAAACCCCAGGACAACCTGCCAGTCACTATCAGTCAGACAGAAACACACACAGACCGACACAATCAAAAACACAATCCCACATTTGGGGAGTTAGACCGAAGGCCTATTATTTTTGTCCTGCATTCTTTTTTTCTGTACGGTCGGGCAGAAACACCTGGAGGAAACCTGGTGATTGCTAGCACAACGGTGCTTCCTGAGAGACCCATTTACTATAAAAACTGGGAAAAAGCTGAGAGAAGTGGAGCCATGAGGTGCAAAGCTTATCTGTTACAGATGAACAGGTCTGAGAGGCATCAGAACCAGGACTAACTGAGGGGACCTGCCCTTAATTTGCTTTTCAGTGGTTTATCAATGGAGATGATGGTCATGTTAATCTCTACCTTCATTATCAGGATCAAAATCAGAATAAAAAATACTTTAATAATCCCAGAGGGAAATTATTTTTATTTTTTCAAACTCCAGATGTGCAACAGCATATACATATGTACATGTCTATACTTGTACATGTACATTAGCAGTTTTCTGTAGCCTCTTTTTAACCTTTTAGATCCCTGTTTGAGTTGTCTTAACACATACAGTATGTCAGGTTGGCTTTTTGTGTTGGGCCTTGTGAGGCATGGTATATTCATGTGATGCTTTTTCATTAACTCAGAGAGCTTTTTTTACCAAGCTGTACACAAGGAAATACAGAATCCAAAGGAAATAAGCCTCTTATCTATTCAGAAAGACAATGAAACATCCACCTATCCAACTTTCTATTAACCACAATTTTCCACTCTTGATGGGAAATGATCCGCGGAGGCCACATGAATCCTTCTTCATCCTCCGTGTGTTGCTCATCCTCCTCCCCGTCTTGTTTTTCAGAAAAGCATGACAGCTCCCATCTGTATTATCGAATTACCCTGTGGGGCTCGATTAAGAAGAAAGGGCTTTTATGCCTGCTTGGCCTGGCTGGCATGACGAATGCATTACGCATTGTCAGCCGCGGCCAACACTGGTGTGTACATGCAGATACGCACATCCC